AAAAAAGGTGAGAAAATAGCTATGGGCATCTGTTTGCATCTGAAGTATTTCAAAATCAGAAGTACATCTTTTATTCTTGATATGACTGTTATTAAAGATGAATGAATCTAACATCAATATTTATTTTTCATTTCCAGTCCTTAAGGGCATTTACCATCCACAAATCAGTACACCCAGTGTTGCTGTTCTAGTTCCAAAGCAGGAACAAAAACACAATGTATTTGTACAGGCAGTTTCCACAAATGGCTGCTGTACATGTTTTGGAAAAGATGACTGTGTACTTCAAGGTAAAAGCCTACCTTCATGTTTGTAAATTTGCAGTGTTGGAAATAGTATAAAACAAATGCTTGAGATACAAGGAATCCTTTATGATTGTTTTTTTTTCAAATGCAGATATGGATCATTTCCATTCATTTATTAATATAGCTTGTATATAGCAAAAATTTCCATGATTTTACCTTTTTTCAGCTGTGGAGGGCATCTATCACCTGAGAAAACTTACACCCAGCAGCGGTGTTCTAGTCCCAGAGCGGGTACAGAGAGAGGCTGTGTTTGTGCAGACAGATTCTACCTTTGGCTGTCGAACATTTTGGGAAAAGGAAAGCAGTATTGATCAAGGTACAGTATCAGGACTTTAATCTAACATATAAATATGAAACCCAAAACTGTTCAGAATTTTTTTTTCTTAAATGACAGTTAGCTACTCAAATGTTGTGAAGTGCAAAGGTTATTCTACTTTTTTTTTCACCCAAGCAAAGCGTATTTAACAAATTGTATTCTAATAGAAAAGATCTCGTCCTTACACAAATCAAGGAGTTATAACTCCTTGCACAAATACAATTCCACTATTATGGCACCATGATATTATACCTTGACAACAATTTTTACTTTTCTGCAGGATTTGTAGAAATCCCTCTTGGTGATGAAAAAATAGCTCCAACTACAGAGGGAAAAGGTATTTTATTTCATTATTCAACAACTTGCAGAATTCAATGTAAAATTTTTTTCCACTCTTCTTAATCATTCCCCTTCTAAATTTGGTATGTGTATAAGTATCAAGATGTGAAGAGTATATGTCAATGAATTTTTTCAAAGAGATAATTTGAGCCTCATTTTACATATATGCATTTCCTTTATATATATAGTGTCCAAGCCCAGGAGGACATCAATACTAATGAGGCTGAAGAAATTAAAATGTTGGATGTTCACCAAGCTGCAGCAGTTAATACTAAAATGACAATTTTTCTTTTATTTTCATAAAAACTGAATGAAAAAAATAACTCAAATACTGTGCATGCATGAAACGCCACCCATGTATATGCACCCATTAACTACAATGGAAATTATGAACAATCTTGAGAGCTTTTACTTGTTCAGGTTGTATATAGTATGCATGAAATTTTGTTTCATGTTTGTACATATATGTAAACAGAATACCACAGTAAATATATTTTGCTTATTATTATTATATTACTTGTTTTGCAATATCAGTTGCTTAATTTCTTTATATATTGATGTCAATTCCCCTTAAGCTATGTATGTATGTATCATATAAATTTATATTTATAATAAATGATATCCTAAAGACAACAAATTGCAGTATTTTATAATAATAATAATTTATTAAGCACAAAGAAATGGTTTACATTTACAGGCTCTCTAACTAATACAAATATAAAATAATAATTTATGTAGTAAACTATTCGGGGGCGTCTCGATAGTCCGAAGGTTCATTGGTCCGAAGGTTCATTGGTCCGAAAAGTGGTAACATTTTCATCGATTTTTTTAATCAAGGGTTCATTGGTCCGAAGGTTCTATAGTGAACATTCGGACCAATGAACCTTCGGACTATTGAACCTTCGGACTATCGCTACGGCCCCAACTATTCCCATCCATGCAGGGATACACACTTTTTAATTGCACTGTTTACAAATTTACATATGGCCCTCACACTCTGAGCAGAGAGTGGATTGAGTAAAATATGCTCAAGGAAAAAAGAAATGCAACACTCAGTTTTGTGAGTTTTTGAGGGGCAGAATACTTTTATTTTTGAGATCTGCCAGTTTTATATGAACCCTACATCCATTTCTAACTTTTTCAGCATTTTGACATTTTTGAGTCCAATACCACAACCAAACAATAGAGCACCCCTCTTCCCCCCCCCACACACACACACACACACAAAAAAAGGGGGGGGGAGGCAGGAATTGCGTCATACTGTCAATAGTTCACGTGACCCCTGGTTGGCATCCTTGACAGCGGTTTTTCCTCGCCTCATGGAGTAAATAAATGTCTGTTCTTTCCTGTTTGCTCAAAAATTTAAAAGGCATCTTGTATCAGTCTATTCACATTTGGATTTTCTCTCACCTTCAGATCCTATTGACACACTGCAGATTTTGGCATCAAGAATTCATTTTGGCAGGAAATATTTAACAAGGCAGCAAAGCTGTCAAATGTACAGACAAAAAGCAGGAAATAACTATGCACAAAATAGGCTACTGTCAATTCTGACGCAAAAGTACATTATGTTAAACTGCAAATTCAACATCAAATTTTAATTATGCTCAACAGGTAATACCAATGTAAGTAAAATGTGTAACAAGCATAATGCTTCAGGCCCATGGGAGTTCAAGTTCGCACTTTGAAAATGTATAACTTCCAGAAAAAGAAGCCAATTAGACTGTTTTTCCAACTCAGGCTGCATTTTTAGTCCTGTATTTCTTTTTTGAAAGTTTGGCAATCATAAATAACATGGTTTTCCCATAATGGTCATCATGGCAGCAGCACCCAAAATTGTGTTTTCTTCTATTCTGATGCAATATTACATAATGGTTAACAGCATAATGACCTTTAATTTTTAATAATAAAATATATGTATCATGTATTTTCAGAAAATGTGACTAGCATGGGTATTCAAGCCCGTGGAACTTCAAAGTCACACCTTGAAAATGCCAATGTGTGAAAAATTAAAGTTTCACAAAAAAAACTGTTTAACTGGCAGTAAGAATTACCAAACAGACTGCATTGCCTACTGAAGCTGTATTTTAGTCCCAGGTTTTTTTCCTGTAAGTTTAAGAACAGTAAGTGACATGGTTTCTCTGAAATGGTCATCATGGGAGCAGTGCCCAAAATATGTTTTTTTCAAATTTTGATGCAATATTACATAATGTTTAACTGCATAATGACCATCAATTTTTAATAATAAAATATTAGTATTATGGATATTCAGAAAATGTGATTAGCAAAGGTCTTCATGCCCATGGAACTTCAAAGTCAAAACTTGAAAATGCCAAAATGTAAACAAGACAGCACTGTTCTGAAATGTTTTTTTTTCCCATTTTTAACAATTTTTAACATAAATCAAAATAAACAGTTTACTGCCATTTTTATATGATCAACTAAGATAATTGATGAGATGGGAAAAATATCAATAGAGCAGTGTTAAATGTCCAATTTCTTCCATTCTGAGATTCTGAACATAGTGAATGATTGAATCTGACAAACTGCAATGATATGAGTTTATTTCCATTTTTGACACTTTATTACACAATACACGATAACAAGTTTACCATCATTTTTACATAATCAACTAACAATGTTGTAAAGATGCAGGAAATGTCAAACAAACACTTTTACGTATCTTATTAGTTAAATAATGAGACTGTTAACATGCCTAAGAATTGAATCTGAGGAAATGTGAAAAAAGACAGCACTGTTCTGACATGGGTTTATTTCCATTTTTAACACTTTTTTTAACATAAAACAAAATAAACAGTTTACTGCAATTTTTATATGATCAACTAAGAAAATTGATGAGATGGGAAAAATATCAATACAACAGTGTTAAATGTCCAATTTCCTCCATTCTGAGATTCTGAACATAGTGAATGATTGAATCTGACAAACTGCAATGATATGAGTTTATTTCCATTTTTGAAACTTTATTACACAATACACGATAACAAGTTTAACATCATTTTTACATAATCAACTAACAATGTTGTAAAGATGCAGGAAATGTCAAACAAACACTTTTACGTATCTTATTAGTTAAATAATGAGACTGTTAACATGCCTAACAGTTGAATCTGAGGAAATGTGAAAAAACAGCATAACTTCTAAAATAATGGCCCGATTATGCTGATTTTCGAACTCAACCTGCGTTTTAGTAAGATTGACCACTCCTGTGAGTTTAATGACAATTGGCCTATCTGTTTTTCTTATATTGTGTTTACAGTGTTGCATATATGCTGAAAAAATGAAAAAATCAGCATAACTACTAAAATAGTGGCCCAATCATGCCAATTTTCGAACTTGTCCTGTGTTTTAGTAAGATTGATTACTCCTGTGAGTTTCATGACAACAAGCCTAATGGTTTTCCTTAAAATGTGTTTACAGGGTTGCATATATGCTGAAAAGTGAAAAAACAGCATAACTTCTACTATAATGGCCCGATCATGCTGATTTTCGAACTTGACCTGCGTTTTATGAATATTCATCAGCTCTGTAAATATAAAAGCAAAAAATAAAACTGTGTTCCACTTATCGTGTTTACAAGGAAAGTGCATGGCACCGGCATCGGCATCGCCATCGCCATCAGTGACGACGGCGACGACAGACGCAGGTGATGGCAATATGTACAGACACATCTGTGTCTGTACATAAAAATCACCTTAAATTTATATTTTAAAAAAAATCCATGCTTCAGCTGTCATTTTGCCAATGAAGGAAATTCTTGTCTTTATTCCTCATAGCTTTTTCTTGGCTTATCTTTTAAACAAGTTGATAAATATCAGAACAATCCTTGCTACTGAGCTAAACCATTTTTATATAATTTATTTATTATAAGGCATCTGAAAAAGGATGATTAAGCCAGCTACATTCCCAATTTTAGAAAAGTTTTTATAGCGACTTCTTCTGACTGGACCAATACCTGGAAAACTTGTACTTGTGGTATAAAGGATCATCACCCTTGATATTTTTTAAATCTATTTTGCATTTTGTTGAAACTGCACAGAACATGATCCTGTATTTGGATCTTGCTGTGATTTGAAATTGTCAGTAGACATTCCATTTGAAGGGCTTTAGAACCTTGTTCCCCAGTTCTTTTAACTTTCCTAGAATGAGAAAATATAAATACTTCGACAATTTCTGTGAATGATAAGATGAATACAAAACTCAAATGTTTCAAGAATCAAACTTTTTAAATCAAATATTTCTTTTTCCCACCAGTGTTTGAAGAAATTGATCTTGATGATGATGATGATGATGATGAAAAATTAGGTCCATCTACTGAGGGAGAAGGTATATTGTGTTCAAATTTTATAAAACAATAAAACAAAGTAAAAAATTAATTTCAAAGCATTAGGTGATGGCAGATTTGAATGTAAAGTAAGGTGTAACAAGTTATTTAGATGGTTTTACAATGATCCCAAGTGAAATGTACTCAATTTGACATTTGTATTATAATCAAGATCTATAAATATGTCTTAATAAAATTCTTTACAGAGAAAATATGTGCCCCCATTTTACATATAAACTTTTTCCTTGATATATAGTGTCCAAGCCCAGGAAGACACCCATCCTAAGTAGGATGAAGAAATTTAAGTTTTGGATGATGACCAAGCTGCGACAGCTAGTCAAATACTGAAATGACTGTTCACAATTTTTTCATAAACTGTATGAGCAAAATCACTTGGACATTGTGCATAAACAAATAGCCATGTATATGCATCCATTCACTGCAGTTTTGAATGGAATTTATTAGCATTCCAGAAAGAGCTTGTACTAGTTCTACATAATTAACAAATGTAAATATAATAGCATACAAATATACAGTATGTAAAGTATATACAACATTAAAGTATTATTTTTTAAAACATAAATAATTGCTGAATTTGTATTGCTTATAATAATGATGTCAATTCTCCTCAAATCATGCATATTTCATATATATAATTTATCTTTTAAATAAAAGAAAGCATGTCAAAATAAAATTTGCATTCATTAATTTACTTGAACAGTCAGTCATTTATCCAAGCTACAATCACTACGTTTTTAAATTTATAGACACTGAAAGAGGCCACATATTGTTATCTTAAACTGTGTTACAAGACATAAAAAGATCAAATTTACTCTAAGGCAAGACTTTTCCCAGATAGCCATCCAGTGTTCATTAAGATGGCCCATGGACTCAATAGACACCCTTTTTTTCTTCAAAAAAGGCTGGATGGCTTATAAAATTTTTGGGAATGACAGTATATTTGTAGTTGGATTTCCTTTAAATTGGTGACCAAATTACCAAATTACAGATCAACGTTTTGGAATGTTGACCTACTGTGATGCAAATCCTGCAGAAACCCCTGCTCTAAGGACAATCTGCATTTCTTCATCTTAAGAAAATAGATGTCTATTCTCCTCTGCTTGCTGAAAACAAAAAGTAAAAATGGCGTTTTTATTATCACTTTACATGCAATCCCATTTGCTCTCACCAACAGCACCTACTGACAACACATCACCACTCTCCTTTGTAGACAGAAATCAGATTTGGGCATCAAGAATTTATTTTGGCAAGAAATATTTAAAGAACACCCTAAATTTATATTTTAAAAAATCCATGCTAGAGCTGCTAATTCTGTCAATAAAACCAAAAACTCAAAAATGAGTTGATTAATTAATACAAAACTCAAATGTAAAGAGAATCAAAGTTTTAATAAATATGTTGACCACTATTAAAATCAATGAGCAGAAGACCAGTCTAAAAGTTTTGCTTTCATATAAAGTATTTCAAAATGCACTGGTACTGTAGTGCTAAAATATCTGAAATAAAAATTTACCTATCATACATCTTTCATTTTATCATTTCTTTCTTTAAATTGCTATGGTAACCTCTGTATTCTATCATTGTATTCCTATATGCACTTTTTTTGAAAAAAAAAACAATGTTTTTCAAACATATGAACACCATTTGTTTTTCATATTGGGTTTTACTACACATAAATACATAACATTACAAAAATCTACAATATCTAAGACCAGTATTTGTAATACTACACTTACAATCCATACTTGCCCAGCAGCATGTTGTGTTGGATCTAGGGCCGCATTCAAAACAGTTTGATCCTCGAACTAACTGTTTCAAGGATCAAATATGGTGGACCTACTTGAAAGCAAAGCCTCATACTCCCTTAATGGTTTCCCCAACCTACCACACATGCAATCCTTACAGTGGCCTATATAGCATTTAAAGCTAAAATAAAACCACTCTGAGATTTAATTGCTAGGCCCTTTAAGTCTACATGAAGCTGTGTACAAGATATTTTAAAGCTTTTTTTTATTATGCTGATATATAAAAGAGTGAAAGGGGTCTTTTTCCTGAACAAAAAACCTCAACAAAAATGGGTACTTTTGTAGTATACCCCCCCCCCCCCCCACCTTGTAACTTTCACTTTTCAAGCAGATTTTCATAATATTTTACATTTACTTGTTCATCTATGTCAAAGCTGTTTAAATAAAATGTTTTTGTAATTACCTGTGGTCTTTTTCGAGTTTTAATCAAGTTTAATCCAGCCCATTGAAATACAATGTGAGAATCTACCATGCATCTTGCAGTCAAGACCACAGGTATTTACAATAACATTTTATTTTAACAGTTTTGACATAGATGAACAGGAAAATGTAAAAAAAACTATTTGAAAAGTGAAAGTTACAGGGTTGGGGGGGGGGGGGGGTATATACTACAAAAGTACCCAAAAATGAAGTAGAAAAAAATACGGTTTGGCACTAATGGAGCGAACACAGTTAAAGTACATAAAAAAAAGACAAAGTTTGTAAAAGCTGACTTTCAAAATGACTTTTTGCTCAGCAAAAAAACCCAACAAAGATGAAGTAAATCAAAATGGAGCGAACACAGTTAAAGTACATGAAAAAAAAAACAATAACTTTTGTTAAAATAATGCTGACTTACAAAATGACTTTTTGTTCAGCAAATCCCATATAAATTTGAAAAATAAATAAAATTACGGGTTGGTACTGTAGTTATGAGGTCAAAGACGTACTGAGTACGCAAATTTATAGCTTTTAAGTCCTCGTAGCTTTCAAAATTGTGTTTTGAAGTTCTGAAATAATAATGAAAGAAGCTTAATTTCATGTGTAAATTATTCCTTGGATATTGCCATATTTGAACGAACAAAACGAGAATATCAGAGAATTCTGACTGAGAAAAAAAAATACCATCTTTGGCAACGTGCCTATTTTGTAATGAAATGTATATTTGCTAGCACCCATCACTCATTACGGGATATGGAATCCTGACAACCGATCAAATATTGTGAAATATTTCAGGCGTCTGCGTCACTCTTTTCCATTGCATGTATGTCGGAGGCGGAGAAAAACGTAAACGCTCGAGTTTCAGCGAACTTTCAGCCAATCACATTGGAGAGCGTGCCTAGCAACAAAAGCGGCAGATTTGCGCATTTTTTCAATGAGCGAGGTGAGTATCGAAAAAATTCAGGAAGATATTTTCATTTAATCGAAGACGATAATATTTTTATGATGTTTTATATGTTAGAGTAATTAAATCACGCCAGTTACTTTTCTTCTTAAATGTTTTTTATGCATGTGGGCATACATTTTACGAAAAATCGGCAAAAGAAATTTTCGTACGGCTATATGCAAAAACTTCTCGCGGACATTTAGATCTACAGCTTTGGACGTTTAAAAGTTTTAAAAAATTGAACAAAATTAAATTAAAAAAAAACAGCAGAAGAACCTTCGAAAATAAAGTAAATAAACACCAAATTAAGACAAGCCAAATAAATTGTTTTTATCGAAAACTTCCTTGATTGGGTTTTATCTTACGTACGTTTTGAAAGTTTCCTAGATTTCCTTTAATGTTACGAGTTGGAATTATCTGTCATAACATTTATATTTGCTTTCATTGTTATCCATTGGTTTAATTATTTTTATCTNGATTTCCTTAATTTAATGTTCGAGTTGGAATTATCTGTCATAACATTTATGTTTGCTTTCATTGTTATCCATGGGTTTGATTATTTTTATCTGTCTTTCTTTTTCTTACTTTCTTTCATTTTTAAAAAAAATTATTTATTCTTTTTCTTATTTTTTGTTTATTTAATTTTTTATTTTGTTTTTTATTTTCTCAACATTTTCAGTTTAAAATGTTAAAATTGGAGTCCTTTGTTATGGAAATGATAGAAAGATGGAGTGATGAAAAAGGTGAGAAAATAGCTATGGGCATCTGTTTGCATCTGAAGTATTTCAAAATCAGAAGTACATCTTTTATTCTTGATATGACTGTTATTAAAGATGAATGAATCTAACATCAATATTTATTTTTCATTTCCAGTCCTTAAGGGCATTTACCATTCACAAAACAGTACACCCAGTGTTGCTGTTCTAGTTCCAAAGCAGGAACAAAAAGACAATGTATTTGTACAGGCAGTTTCCACAAATGGCTGCTGTACATTTTTTGGAAAAGATGACTGTGTACTTCAAGGTAAAAGCCTCCCTCCATGCTTGTAAATTTGCAGTGTTGGAAATAGTATAAAACAAATGCCTGAGATACATGAAATTTTTATGATTGTTTTTCTAATGCAGATATGGACCCTTTCCATTCATTTATTAATATAGCTTGTACCTTTTTTCAGCTGTGGAGGGCATCTATCACCTGAGAAAACTTACACCCAGCAGCGGTGTTCTAGTCCCAGAGCGGGTACAGAGAGAGGCTGTGTTTGTGCAGACAGATTCTACCTTTGGCTGTCGAACATTTTGGGAAAAGGAAAGCAGTATTGATCAAGGTACAGTATCAGGACTTTAATCTAACATATAAATATGAAACCCAAAACTGTTCAGAACTTTTTTTTCTTAAATGACAGTTAGCTACTCAAATGTTGTGAAGTGCAAAAGTTATTCTACTTTTTTTTCACCCAAGCAAAGCATATTTAACAAATTGTATTCTAATAGAAAAGATCCCTTCCTTACACAAATATAACTACAATTCTAATACGGCACCATGATATTAAGCCTTGACAGTAATTTTTGTTTTTCCACAGGATTTGTAGAAATCCCTCTTGATGATGAAAAATTAGCTCCGACTACAGAGGGAAAAGGTATTTTATTTCATTATTCAACAACTAGCAGAATTCAATGTAAATTTTTTTCCATTCTTCTTAACATTCCCGTTCTAAATTTGGTATGTGTATAAGTATCAAGATGTGAAGAGAATACCTCAATGAAATTTTTCAAAGAGATAATATGAGCCTCATTTCACATATATGCTTTTCCTTTATATAGTGTCCAAGCCCCAAAGGAAAGCTATACTAAGTAGGATGAAGAAAATAAAATATTGGATACTCACAAAGCTGAGACAGTTAATCCGTTACTAAACTGACTGTTCTTCCTTTTCTTTTTTTTTTTCATAAAAACTGAATGAAAAAAATAACTTAAACACTGTGCATACATGAAACGCCACCCATGTATATGCACCCATTAACTACAATGGACATTATGAACAATCTTGAGAGCTTTTACTTGTTCACGTTGTATATAGTAAACATGAAATTTTGTTTCATGTTTGTACATATGTTAAATAGAATACCATGGTAAATATATATAAAAAGTTGTTCATTATTATTGTTTTGCAGCATCAGTTGCTTAATTTGTACACATTTATAATATTTATGTCAAAAGTTATGTACATATTATTTATATATATAATTTTATTTATAATAAAGAAATCACATAAAGACAATAAATTGGATTATTTTATTGTTGCAATCAGTCTTTTATTCAAGTGAACTACAACCAACTCAAATGAGACTGTGAATGAGGCCATAAATTGTTTTTTTTAACTCGAACAGATATAAAAAGAATTGTACTCTAAGGACAATCTGCATTTCTTTCTCTTGGGTAAATAGATGTCTTTTCTTTCCTGCTTGCTCTAAAAGTTAAAAAGGCGTCTTGTCTTACTCTATTCACAATCAGATTTTCTCTCACCATCAGCACCTATTGATGACACAGCACTGCTTCCTTATGTAGACAGACAAGATATGGGCATCAAGGCCTTATTTTGGCAGGAAATATTTTTAAATCACCTTAAATTAATATTTAAAAAAAAAAACATGCCTGAGCAGTCATTTTGCCAATCAAGCAAATTCTTATCTTTATCCTTTATAGTTTTTTGTTGGCTTATGTTAAGAATATCTGCTGTGTGGTAACCTTTTAAACAAGTTGATAAATATCAGAACAATCCTTGCTACTGAGCTAAACCATTTAAGGCATCTGAAGGATGATGAAGCCAGCTACATTCTCTATTTTAGATAAGTTCTAATTGCAGTTTCTTCTGACTGGACAAATACATGGAAAACTTTTACTTGTGGTATAAAGGATCACCACCCTTGATATTTTTTTTAAAATCTATTTTGCATTTTGTTGAAACTGCACAGAATATGATCCTGTATTTGGATCTTGCTGTAATTTGAAATTGTCAGTAGACATTCCAAAGGGCTTTAGTACCATGTTCCCCAGTTCTTTTAACTTTCCTAGAATGAGAAAATATAAATACTTCCACTTTTGCTCTGAATAATAAGATGAATACAAAACTCAAATGTTTCAAGAATCAAATTTTTAATAAATATGTTGATTTTTATTGAAATCAAAGAGCAGAAGACCAGTCTAAAAGATTTTGCTTTAATGTAAAATATTTCAAAATGTAGGACTGAAAGATATAAATTACCTATCATTTCATCTTTCATTTTCTCATTTCTTTCTGTAATTTGCTGTGGCAATCGCTGAAGAGATGAAAATAAACACAGATTCAATCAGATCTAAAAGTTCACTGATAAGTTCTCTTATGAATAAAAACAATATACTGACTTGTAATTATTTTAAAATCTTTAAATTTAAGTGAATATTGCACTGTTACATTTAGTACTATTAGCATTTTTTCTATTGCAAATTTGCAATGCTTTTAAACATATACGAACACCATTTTTATATTTCACTTACTACACATTGACACATTACAGAAAACCATGTAACACAAATCTAAAGTATTTGAGACTGTTTTTATGATACCAGACTTACAATACATGCTTCCCTTGCAGTATGTTGTGTTGGATCCATTTCAATTACTTTTTTGTAATCCTCTAATGCCTCATCTAATTTTTCAGTCTTTTCATACATTTCTGCCCTCCTTAAAAGTGCTTTGAGATAATTAGGATCAAGTTCTAGTGCTTTGGTACAGTCTTCAATAGCCTTTTCGTACTGTTTCTGAAAAGAGATTTTTTTCAAATGCCTCAAAGAAAACACCCTTAATATATACCTTGTATCAATGCATGCCAAATTGAACACAACCTTTAAACAAAGAAAAATTATCACAGCCTTTGTCATAAAATGTTGTTTAAATTATATATTTTAAATAGTGAACCAATCTAGGGAAATCATTCTATCAATTGAAATTGCTACACTTCAATAATAATAATAATAACTCAAGAACTTACTGCACAGAATATGGTCCTGTATTTGGATCTTGCTGTGATTTGAAATTGTCAGTAGACATGCCATTTTAAGGGCTTTAGTACCATGTTCCCCCAGTCCTTTTAACTTTCCTAGAATGAGAAAAAATAAATTGATCTTGATGATGATGATGATGAAAAATTAGGTCCATCTACTGAGGGAGAATTAAGGTATTGTGTTCAAATTTTATAAAACAATTAAATTATTTTCAATTGGGTGATGGCAGATTTGAATGTAAAGTAAGTTGTAACAAGTGAGTTAGATGGTTTTATAATCATCCCAAGTGAAATGTACTCAATTTGACATTTGCATTATAATCACGATCTATAAATATGTCTTAATAAAATTCTTTACAGAGAAAATATGTGCCCCATTTTACATATAAACTTTTTCCTTGATACACTGTATATAGTGTCCAAGCCCAGGAAGACACCCATCCTTATAGCCTTAGCAGGATGAAGAAATTTAAGTTTTGGATGATGACCAAGCTGCGACAGCTAGTCAAATACTGAAATGACTGTTCACAACTGTATGAGAAATATCACTTGGACATTGTGCATAAACAAATAGCCATGTACATGTATATGCATCCATTCACTGCAGTTTTGAAGGGAATTTATTAGCATTCCAGAAAGAGCTTGTAAAAATTGTACATAATAAACATGTAATTTTGTTTCATAATATTTGTACATATGTAAATAGAATAGCATACATATATATAGTACGTAAAGTATATACAACATTAAAGTATTATTTCTTTTTTTACAACATAAATTGCTGAATTTGTATTACTTATAATACTGATGTCAATTCTCCTCAAATCATACATATTTCATATATATAATTTATATTTTAAATAAAAGAAAGCATGTAAAAAATTGCATTCATTAATTTACTTGTAACAGTCAATCATTTATCCAAGCTACAATCACTACATTTTTATATTTATAGAGACTGAAAGAGGCCACATATTGTTATCTTATACCTGAAGCTGTGTTACAAGACTTNCGACTATTGGGCCTATGGGAGTGGCGACTCGACTAATAGTGTCCAAGCCCAGGAAGACACCCATCCTTATAGCCTTAGCAGGATGAAGAAATTTAAGTTTTGGATGATGACCAAGCTGCGACAGCTAGTCAAATACTGAAATGACTGTTCACAACTGTATGAGAAAAATCACTTGGACATTGTGCATAAACAAATAGCCATGTACATGTATATGCATCCATTCACTGCAGTTTTGAAGGGAATTTATTAGCATTCCAGAAAGAGCTTGTACAAATTGTACATAATAAACATGTAATTTTGTTTCATAATATTTGTACATATGTAAATAGAATAGCATACATATATACAGTATGTAAAGTATATACAACATTAAATATTATTTCTTTTTTTACAACATAAATTGCTGAATTTGTATTACTTATGATACTGATGTCAATTCTCCTCAAATCGTGCATATTTCATATATATAATTTATATTTTGAATAAAAGAAAGCAAGTAAAAAATTGCATTCATTAATTTACTTGTAACAGTCAATCATTTATCCAAGCTACAATCACTACATTTTTATATTTATAGAGACTGAAAGAGGCCACATATTGTTATCTTATACCTGAAGCTGTGTTACAAGACGTAAAAAGATCAAATTGACTCTAAGGCAAGACTTTTCCCAGATAGCCATCCAGTGTTCATTTAGTACAATAGACAATCTATGTTTAAAAAAAAAAAAAAAAAAAAAAAAAACAAGGCAGCAAAGCTGTCAAATGTACAGACAAAAACAGAAAATAAAAATGCAGAAAATGGTTCATTTTGTCAATTTTAATGCAATGATAAATCATGCCTACAATAGCACTGTCAATCAACACTGAATTTTAATCATGCACAACAGGTGACATCGTCAATAACAGGAGCGGATCCAGGGATATTTTCTGACAGTATTCCAAATTATCTTTGTTGATCCATCCTACATTTTTGATGGTCTTCCAACAGAAAAAACAGATACCCATCAATGTGAACTTTAAAATCTGAAAGACCCAGAAGACGGTCTCAATCTGCCCCTGCAATAAGATTACAGTTTCAGGACCAAATTCACATAATGAAAATCCCAATATTTGAATAATGATGACAGTGCAGAAAATAATATTACATAATGTTTAAAGACATAAAAACCAATGCAACTGCTTATGTGGAAATACAGAAAATGTGAAGAGCTTCAGGTGGATGGGAGCTGAAAATGCTTGAAATGTTTGAAAAATAAATTAAAAAGAAAACAAAACAAAAATATCCCATTAAAGCTGCTATTCAAACTTTTAATCTTGCTGTAATAACATGATATGAATAACACCAATGTGTTTGAGGATAATAAGGCACTGTTATTCAAATTATTTTTTCTTTTGTTAACTTATTTGCAATATTAAACAACATTTACCTGCATAATTATCACAGATTCCTAATTATGTAACACAGTTAAGAGAGCTTAAAGGGATAATAACTCTTCGTATGAAATCTATATTTCACAATAAAAACATTGTAAATAACTCATAGAAATATAATATATTCTGTTTTACGACGAAAACAGCAGTTATAGCTATTATTCTGATATCTGAGCTTGTCTTAAGATCACGTGACCTCCATTGATGGCTATACTCTGTTATAATCTCTTAAGAGATTTTAACAAAAAACCAAACTTTTTAGAAAAAAACCAAGGACTAAATTTGAATGTAAAAATGGATTCATTAACCATTGGTAAGTATGGGAAAATTGTTGTTTACTCCAGGAAAATTCATTTTTTGGCCAAAACGAAGAGTTATTATCCCTTTAACCTATGGGACTTTACTGGGAAATCTCAACGTGTGTTTTATGTAATCTTATTTAATGGGCACTTGGAAATTAATTAGGCAAATGATTTAATAGCTCTGAATTTAGCTTGTGACTACCCCAAGGGACAATTACCACCATCCATAAACAGTAGCCCCATATAGCACTCTATAGAGCTGCATTGCTTCCAAAACAGAAAACAATCACACTGATTTTCCAACACAAACTGCACGTCAGTCTTACGAAACTTTTCAGTAACTTTGAGTATCATAAGTAACATGGTTTTTCCTTAATGGTCATTATGGCAGCCATTTCCAAAATAGGGTTTTCTTCAACTTTTATGCAATATAACATAATGACCATCAATTTTTAATAATAAAATAAAAGTATCATGGATATACAGAAAATGTGCCATGGAAAGGTCTTCAAGGCCATGGAAGTTCAGAGTCACACTTTCAAAATGCCAAAATGTATACAAGAGATAACTGTATTGAATTGATTTTCTTTCTATTTTCAACACCTTTTTTTCATATAACAAAATAATCAATTTACTGTCATTTTTAAATGAACAACTAAGAAAATTGTTGACATAGGAAAAATATCAATAGAACAATTTTAAATGTCCAGTTTCCTCCATTCTGAGATTCTGAAGATAGTAGATGATTGAATCTGACAAACTGCAATGATATGAGTTTATTTCCATTTTTAACACTTTATAACATAATACACAATAACAAGTTTATCATCATTTTTACATAATCAACTAACAATGTTATAAAGATGCAGGAAATGTCAAACAAACACTTTTACGTATCTTATTAGTTCAATAATGAGACTGTTAACATGCCTAACAATTGAATCTGAGGAAATGTGAAAAAACAGCATAACATCTAAAATAATGGCACGATTATGCTGCTTTTCCAACTCATCCTACGTTTTAGTAACATTGACCAGTCCTGTGAGTATAATGACAATTTGCCCATCTGTTAATCTTATATTGTGTTATCAGTGCTGCATATATGCTGAAAAAAGTGAAAAAACAGCATAACTTCCCTTAAAATGGCCCGATCATGCTGATTTTCAAATTTGACCTGCGTATTATAAATATTCATCAATTCTGTAAGTTTCAAGCCAAAAGGTAAAACATTTTTTCACTTATTGTGTTATCAGTGTTGCATATATGCTGAAAAAAGTGAAAAAACAGCATTACTTCCATAAAATTGACCCGATAACTCTGATTTTCNACTTCTAAAATAATGGCCCGATTATGCTGTTTTTGGAACTCAACCTGCGTTTTAGTAAGATTGACCACTCCTGTAAGTATAATGACAATTGGCCTATCTGTTTTTCTTATATTGTGTTATCAGTGCTGCATATATGTTGAAAAAAGTGAAAAAATAGCATAACTCCCCTAAAAATGGCCCGATCATGCTGATTTTCGAACTTGAC